AAAAGTTGAAAGTTAAGAATCTGTCGGCAGGAAAATCAAAGAAAGACTCAAATGTTGTCGAGGCTCAAACCATTTGTACAGAAAAATGGCCACAGAATTTCACCAGAAATCTCACATGGAGGTGGGTTCCATTGTGAATAAAATACGGCAAAAAATGCGGGTCTCACTTGTGTTGTGTGTGGTCTGGTGGAATTCTGCCCCACAGCAAGGTTCGTGTTGTCGATTGCATGGCTATAGAATAAGTCAAAATATTTGACTTATAAGTTTTTTTGTTTATATTGAAAGATAAGTAAGAAGAATTAGAGGGAGAGGAAAGGAGAGAGAATTCTTTAAATTAGCGGTGTTTAATAATTATAATTATAAACAAATATAGAATTTCATATAAGCGAAAAAAGAAATATAGCTTGGAGCCGTTCCTTCAATTGAATTAATTTACGACTCACTTCAAAACATTACAATCTAGCTAAATTCAGCCTCTGTTTGACCCACATTCTTTAAAAATATATTATTTCAAAATTCATTTTCAATCGTACATTCTTTAATAAAATAATATTTTTCATCACATCAATAATTTTCCTTACTTTTTAACCACATATTTCCCATCATACCACTATTTAAAATACATTTTTCCTTAATACTAAATAATTTGAATTTAATTGAGTAATTTATCAGGAACGTAATTAGTACGAATGAAAAACATACTTGGCTGCATCATTAATTAAAATGAAACGTTACAAACTTACAGTTGATAAACTTTTGAAGTTTTTATTTAGCCTAAGTTTGTCTACCATTATTTGAGGAAAAAAAAATAGACACATTCTCACAATAAAATATTTTGCTCGTAAATTAAAATTTTCTTTCTAATTTTTAATAATTCATTCTCCAAAATTTTATTATTTAAAAATTCATTTTCACTTTACAACGATAGATAAACAGAGTTATTCAATAATTTTCGATTCACGTCACAATAATTAAATTTTTTTTAAAAATTTTTAATCATTCATTTTTCAAAAATTTATTATTTAAAAATTCATTTTCACTTTATAACGATAGATAAACGAAATTATTCAATAATTTTCGATTCACGTGACAATAATTTTATGTAAATTGTAGGGCAACGTTGTTGACAAATGCCAAAATGACTGGACACGGTCTCTCGTTTTATCTTTTGATGTTAAGATCGTTTGAAATTGAAGTAATAGTACAAAATCTAGAGGAAGACGTGACAAGACTTGACTCCTGTTTGACTGAATTTTTTCAGAGGGATGCGACTTTTACACGAAAAAGACTGGTTGTACAGCATTTTTGTACATGAAGTTACACATCCCACTCACATGGAGTGGGCCCCGCATTTATTGATAAATTCAAGTGAAATTACCTTTGTACCCCCTTTACATTTATTTCATTGTCTACTGAGAGTGTCATTTTAGAGAATTTATTGTCTATTGACTCAAAAAAGACTGCTGCAATGGACCCATGTTACTGTTCCAACAATCAAAAAATCTCTAAAAATG